GTTTAAAAATAGAAAAAACGTTGAATTTACTTGTAGAATATTTTATTGTGTGAATGTTTAATTGAAAATAATTACGGAAAAAAATGATTTTTGATAGAAATTCCATCAAAGTGGGGTTCAATAAATATTTCATTTTGGTCTTTGTTGGTAGATTGCGGTTCGAGGCAGGCATGGCCTTCCAGCAAATGGACTGTTCACATGCTATTACTGTATGAATAATCAGTATAAATTATCTTCTTGATTGCATATTATTTTACTAAGGACTTGTTTGATTTTCATTAATTCTTTTTTATGTGATTTACTACAGAATCATTTTTAATCACATATTCATATAATAAAATATTTTTACACGTTCTTTCAAAACTTTTCATTATTTTTTAATCGCACATTCTCCTAAAATTGCTATTCAAAACTCATTTTCTCTCCAATTAAAGGAAATCAAACAAGTACTAAGTGAACGTTTTTGTGCATGTTCAAGAGAAGTGCAAGAAATGTGTAGTGTGTAATCAATTTTCATAAGCTAAGCTCGTTTCTCTTTAATTTTTGAGTTGTTATTCTTCTCCAGTGTTACAATTAACGTTTACTTATTGAATGAATTGAGACGAGTTAACTATACGAAAATTACTTGATTTTGAAAAAAAGAAAAAGAAAAAAGTATTGAATCATTCAGCCTTTTCATTTTTCAAAATAATAGTAGTTTTTTAGTTAAATTAATTGTATTGTGTAGGTATTCATTGATTGCGAATTAATTAGATCTTTCAACTCTGACCAATATATCAGCATGCTTAACTCAATTTTGTATTAATTTTTTGATAGTTATTGACCTCGAAGTATGAATTAGGGTTAATCCGTGCCACTAAATCGCAGGGTTATGCTACTTCAAGAGGGAGTAAAAATTAATTATCTTTGAAAAAATGATCAATCTTTCAATTATTCATTTCTATCAATAGAAAATGATTTGTTTGTACTTTCTAGTAAGCTCTATTTCTAGGTATATGATGCAAAAAAAGTTCTTACCTATTCGGCAGAATATGCCCATATGACCTTTTCGGTAGGAAAGACCCGTCTACCTTCAAATTTCATTAATTTAGACTATAAATTCACTTTAAAGGGTCAAAATTAAAAGACGATAATTGTAGCTGTGATACCAAACTTCTCAATATTTTTTAATCAGATTATATACAAACTTTTTATTTATGCCACTAGCTGTCCTAAACCTTTCAAACTTTATCATTTTCCCCAATTCCATCCATCCCCAAACAAAAATCTAGAAAACCTACCGCCTTGCTACTGGTCTGCCACTAACACCCCCACCCCAAATTACTCTTCTCGGATATTGATCGTAAGTGTGATTTTTGTGGCCATTTTATGGAAACTTGCGAGCATCTTTTCTTCATGTCAAACTTGACTAAGATTCAGCCTACTACTACTCTTAAATTGGAAGAATCTAGATAATTGTCGATGGCAAATCCTGTAATGACTTAGGCCTCGTGCCCAGCCATTAACTTGCATATTGATCATTATTGGAGAGTTTGATCTCATCTTATCTCTCACGAATTTCTATTGCGTCCCTCAATATTCGAATCCAAGACCTCTACCTAATGAAATATTCAAGTTGAATTCTAGTATCAATGCCCACCAAAAGTGGACAGCACGTATGATTTTTTTTTTTAACGACCTGACTTCTGTGCCTGTAACAGAGTGTTCTTATTTCTTGCGATAATCATGTTTATATTGATTGGTTTCATTTATGTTACATTTATTATTGAATCATTATAATTACTGTAGCTGTGACTAATTATATATTTTGCGTTGGAGTGCGGGTTTTTTTTTTGTTTTTTTTTTACGATGGAAAAACTCGCAGCCGCTACCATTCGGATACGTACTGGATAAACCCTCAGGTTGACGCAATAGCCTGCCAATAATGCCAACTAGGTAAACTGCACTAAACAAGCCATGTGCGATATGTTCGATCGAGAAAGTGTTGATAGGGGAAAAAGAGTGTGGTTTTGACACCATAGATGTTCGACACGCCTGTTAATTTAAATTTAATATGCTTATCATTTTAATAAGCTTAAATTAGAATATAAATATGTTTATTTTACTATGTGCATCTTATTTTTAGATTGTGCGTAGACATCGAGTTGGAAGCTTCCTTTCTTAGTAAGTATAGTTTTTGTAATTTAATTTAAAAATTATAGTTGGAACAACAATATAGGAATTTAGTAAGCCACTAAGACCAATTTAAGGCTTAAATATGTTAATGAGAATAATAAGAGGTTTTTATTAATTAATTTTTACTAATTAAATCTAAATAGACGTCGTTAGGATTTAAGAGTCGAGCTCTATTTTACTTTTCCTTCCAATAACCCTAGATACATTTAGATGACAAATTCTTCTCCAAAATATGTTTCTACACTAGTCATTATCTTGTAAAGAAATTCAACCTTAAACTCCCCATTATCTTAACGCGCATGTAATATTATTAAATGTATAAATGTGTTATCAAAATTTGTTATTATGTGATCTTGATATATGATTATTGTATTTTATGTTATTAATGTTTCTCACGACATATTCATGCATTTCAATGAGTCAATAAACATACATGAAGTTTCAAGGCATAAAAAGTTTTCAAATATTAATGAGTCAAAGAATGTTTTAAGATATGTATCACAAATATTTTTATTACGAGGTATATGTCTACGACCAATATTCAATGTCTAATGATAATGCTAATGTTAATCGCTCTATAGTACTATTGATAGGAATCGACCAGGTTTCAAATAATAATTACCCACTGCATTCTAATTGATTAGGCAATACACCAAGTGAGTTCACGATGTCAATGTTAAGTTTTTAAAGAAATGAAATAAACGAGATATATATTGAGAAATTCTTTTTATTCTAAGGTAATTCATATGCATATCATAAGCATGCATAGTATGTATGAGGTTTGCTTATTGAACGCTAGCTCATCTTACGTTATCCATCCCCATTTTTCAGATGATGAATACAAGATAATTTGAGATGATGACTTGTGATGATACAGACTCCATACTCATATAACTTAAATATTGGATTCGTTTCGTAAATTAATTTTATATTTAATTTAATTATCTTATATTTTTATTAAGTACAAATTATTTTCATAAATTAAGTCATTGATGTTTCTTATGATAAAGAAAATTCAAACCGCCTTCTGTATTTGTGATTTTAATAAAATCCAAATCTAGGCATCCAAATTTATGGTGTTACAGTGTCCAAGTCGTTAACTTACACACTATCCGCTTTTAGAGAATCTGAATTCATCATACCCATCAGGACTTTTTATCGCGTCTTCAGGATTTGACCATTTGATATTTCCTTTAAGAATAACTTAAATTGAATCCTAATACCATTTTGGATGCATCCCCATGATTTGAGTTCTTGACCTTTTCATTAAGAATGATTTAAATTGAATATTGGTACCAATTGGGGTCAAGGGTTCGAATCCTGGAGGTGCAAGTTTAGGCTTCTAAAAGTGGACAGTACGTAAGTTATCCTCCCAAGCTTACTACAACCTCGGATTCGTAGAAGAAAATTACAAAATCTTTTGCCATTCTTGAATCCTCTTAGCCAATTTCCATCCTACTTTGTGCAGGGCATCCGTGTTATCAGGTTGTGGTGAAGTTTTCTTGAGACAGCCATCGAATCCTACACGGTTATAGCCTACAAACCAACCAATTTCACCAGCATCCTCTGCCATCGCCTTTGTATTCTCAAGCTGCTGCAATGGTCTCCTCTACACATAGTCAGCGAACAACGTCAACAGCTAATCCTAAAACCCACGCCCCCAACAATGTTGGTCAAAAATTGTGATCACCACGCAGCTAAAGATTAAACCACACCATCAGCCCTCCAAACCATGCCACAACTGCTACCGACACTTCAACAACTTTATCGACCAATTCTATTCTTTATACATCTTTACTCATAACTGTACATTCTTCAATAAAATAATATTACACATAATTTCAAAACTTTTTTTCTTTTTCAATTACACATTTTTCAAAAAATTACTAGTCGAAAATACATTTTTCCAAATCCTCATTGTAATGGGGGCCAAACAAGGGCTTATCATATTGTAGTACCATTGGTTTCAAACATTCCGAATTCTCTAAATCCTCCACCATAATAGAACATACCCCTCTTCTCACTTTTCTTTCTTTAGATATAGCTTCCAACATTAGTTAATTCCAATAAAATAAGAAAATAAATATATGAAATTTGGACTCACCAAAACGCTTTGTGGGAAGAAGATGAAATTTAAAGGTTCGGTAGCACGAATAAAATGTTTGAGTATAATTAAAAATAATAAAAATGAAAACTTTTGAGATCCTAGCTGCAATTATCCCTTTTTTAGTGGATTTAGTGCCTAGACTAAGGGAATTGAATGATAGGAGTTTTTCACTTGCAAAATGTTATTTAGAATCAGGGTTGACAATAGGATGGGTTTGAGACGACCTCGTACCCGTCTCGTTATCCATTTAAGGAGGGGAGGGGCCGACGGGGCAGGTTTGGTGGGTGCGGTTGTCCTGTTTATGTATCCGTTTAAATTTTTTAATAATTTTTTATAATTCATTTTTATTATCTCAATTCATTCAAATGAGATAATAATATAATTATTAAATTTTTAAAAAAAATACATTATTCGAATATATTTGACAAATTAATGTTTTTATTGTTTATCATATTCCTTAGATAATTTTAATTGATATATTCTATTAGAAAATGAAATTTTGTAGAGTTTTTTCATTTAAATTATTGAATTTTTAAAAAAAATAAAAATAAACCAGACGAGACGGGACGGGGCAGGTTGCCCATGTTACATGTTACCGTCCCGTATCCGATTCAATTATCCTATTAAACAAATAATTTTGGTCCCAAGATGGGATCCTACTAATATCAAATTTGACAAATATTTTTGCCATCCTTGTTCCATCAAAATGAAAGAATATGGAATGGCAAAAGTTTGTCCAGAGACTTCTGCACCTTTGCACCAATTACCCCTCATTTCTCCAATATTTAAAAGATTATTTAACTGTACATTCACACACTTCCCACTTTGGGAAGCATAATTGACTATATGAAAGCTCTGCCCGGTACGGAAAATATTTGTTTAATGCAGGCGTGGGTGGGTTTTCTGCCCGGGGAATGGCCCCATTTTTGGGGTTGGAAGATCAAGGCTCTTGAAAGAAGGAATGGGGCTATAGAGCAGAGTTTTTTTTCTGCTCCTGGGGTTCGGTTCAATCTTTGTGGGCTCATTTGGGATTTCCATGAAAACTGGTGCTACCAGTTTTTGAGCTTCTGCAAGTGCTAATAAAAAGGGTCAGTTTTCTGATTATCATCACTTTACTACTTCATTGAAGGATAAATATATATGATTGTTCGTATATATGTTAGTATTTGTCGTATTCTGATGCTAAAATTCTTGAGTTTCAATTGCTGTTTTGCTTTCTATAAATGCAAGTTACTGATTTAGAACATGTTTGGTTAATCTTATAAGTTTAGTTTGTAAGCATGTTTTAAATAACTCTTTCCTTAACCTAATTATTTTCGATTTTGATTAATAAAATAAAATTTTTTTGTTGTAAAACTTGGCTAGCTGATGATTAAGTAAACCTTATAAGCTTAGCCAAACAGGCTCACGGTAAGGTGCAACAAGGACATAGTTAAAGTGGTAGACTGGTAGTTGCTTTCAAGGGCAAATATCTGGTCACGGTTAATGTTCAGCTACTCTTTTTGATTGATTAAGCGAAAAAGGGATGCTAAATTGATATTTGTCTTGTGAATTTGTGGTTCGGTAAGTTGGACAATACTAAAAAAGAAGTTAAAATTTTGTTAATTTTGTGTCGAGTGTTGTCTAAAAAGGTGCTTACGAAATATATACATATGGTTTTGAAGCATGGTTTAAAGCTGCCCTTACCTGTTAATAGTGGAAAAGAAAGACCATTTCGTTGGCAATGAGTTAGGATTTACTTCCAAATGTTATCACGTCAATCAATTGTTCAAACTGGGGCATCTTGCATCTTGGTCTGAGTGGATGGCTAATACACTGTTGATGAGATTCTGATGTTTATAGAAGCTCTTAGGAAGATTCCATTTACTGTTATATGTTCATGCAAGAAATTCAAAAAACTATTAGGGGTATTATGATAGTGACAGGACACAACAGATAATTTTATTATTGATGCTGTTTACTGTGCTTAAAAGATTAGGTATGGCTTTAAGTATTCAGTATTCCTGCAGCCCGTTGACTACTCTATATATGCAAAAGTTATTAGTATTTATCAAATGTCTTTTAAATTAGGCAGCTTTGATTTCATGATAATTATGTTTTGATCTACTTCCTTTTGTCTTTTTAGTTTCATTCTTGTTCAGCTTTGTGATACAATGTCTTCTTCGCTGCCTGCCCAGTCCTCTACCGGTTCAGCAAGATCTAGACATAGTGCCCGGGTCATTGAACAAACGTCCATAGACGCGAAGATCCATGCAGACTTTGAGGAGTCAGGTAGTTTGTTTGACTACTCGAACTCAGTGCGTGTAACAAGTGTGGATAGCGGAGAGCAGAGACAGAGGTCTGACAAAGTAACTACGGCTTATCTCCATCAAATACAGAAAGGCAAGCTGATCCAGCCGTTTGGGTGTTTGTTAGCCCTGGATGAGAAAACATTCCGAGTAATAGCTTACAGCGAGAATGCTGCCGATATGCTGACAATGGTCAGTCATGCCGTTCCCAGTGTTGGAGACCACCCTACTCTTGGCATTGGAACTGATATCAAAACTATTTTTACTGCCCCGAGTGCTACAGCATTGCAGAAGGCCTTGGGATTTGGTGAGGTTTCTCTACTAAATCCTATCTTGGTTCACTGCAAAACTTCTGGGAAACCGTTTTATGCTATAATCCACAGAGTCACAGGCAGTTTAATCATTGACTTCGAGCCCGTCAAGCCTTACGAAGTCCCCATGACTGCTGCTGGGGCCTTACAATCTTATAAGCTCGCGGCCAAAGCTATTACATGCTTGCAGTCCCTACCCAGTGGGAGCATGGAAACACTTTGTGATACAATGGTGAACGAGGTTTTTGAACTCACCGGTTATGATCGGGTGATGGCTTATAAATTTCACGACGACGATCATGGAGAGGTAATATGTGAGATGACAAAGCCCGGACTTGACCCTTATCTGGGTTTGCATTATCCAGCAACAGATATACCGCAGGCTGCCCGCTTTTTGTTCATGAAGAACAAGGTCAGGATGATATGTGACTGCCGAGCAAAACATGTTCAGGTGCTTCAAGATGAAAATCTTCCTTTTGATCTTACACTGTGTGGCTCGACGCTGAGGGCTCCACACGGTTGCCATTTACAATACATGGAAAATATGAATTCAATTGCATCTTTGGTAATGGCAGTTGTAGTGAACGAGGGGGAAGAAGAGGAATCTAATTCTGCTCCTGGACAAAAGAGAAAAAGGCTTTGGGGGTTAGTGGTATGTCATAACACAACTCCAAGGTTTGTTCCCTTTCCTCTCCGATACGCGTGTGAGTTTCTTGCTCAAGTTTTTGCCATCCATGTTAACAAGGTTTTAGAACTGGACAATCAGATTCTTGAGAAGAAAATTCTGCGGACTCAAACACTCTTGTGTGATATGCTGATGCGAAATGCACCCTTAGGCATCGTGTCGCAAAGCCCCAACATAATGGATCTTGTGAAATGTGATGGGGCTGGTTTACTATACAAGAATGAGATATATAAGTTGGGATTAACTCCGACTGACTTTCAGCTGCGTGATATACTTTCATGGCTTAATGAATACCATATGGATTCCACAGGTCTTAGTACAGACAGTTTATTTGACGCTGGCTTTCCTGGGGCTCTTGCTCTCGGGGATGCTATATGTGGGATGGCGGCTGTTAAAATAACCGAAAAGGATTGGCTTTTCTGGTTCAGGTCGCATGCTGCTGCCGAAATTCGTTGGGGCGGAGCTAAACATGATCCGGGTGAGAAAGATGATGGTCGGAAGATGCACCCTAGGTCATCTTTCAAAGCATTCTTGGAAGTTGTTAAAACACGGAGTTTACCTTGGAATGATTATGAGATGGATGCAATCCATTCTTTGCAGCTTATACTGAGAAAGGCAATCAAGGAGACCGAGGCTACGGACTCAAGAACCCAAATAATCCATGCAGGGCTCAATGATCTCAGAATTGATGGAATGCAGGAACTAGATGCAGTGACAACTGAGATGGTCCGATTGATTGAAACGGCCACCGTGCCAATCTTGGCCGTTGATGTAGATGGACAGGTGAATGGGTGGAACACAAAAATTGCCGAGCTAACTGGTCTTCCTGTCGAAGAAGCAATTGGCAGGCATTTTCTAACACTTGTGGAGGATTCTTCTGCTGATACAGTGGGCAGGATGTTGGAATTGGCACTGCAGGGTATGTCTTGAAATAGAATTAACAACACATTCTTACGTGATAGATATATATGTGTGTGGAAATAATTACGTTTGTGCATGCATGCATTAAATAAGAAGGGATTTATCTTTATATTTTTCCTTTCTTTCCATTTATCCTTTTCTGTGAGCTGCGTAAAATGAAGACTTGTAAAGGTGTGGTAAACTATACCTTTTTACTTTTTGATCAGGGAAAGAAGAACGCAATGTACAATTTGAGATTAAAACTCAGCGGTCAATGGGTGATTCTAGCCCTATCAGCTTAGTCGTAAATGCTTGTGTAAGTAGGGATGTTAGGCAAAATGTTGTAGGAATATGTTTTATAGCGCAGGATATAACAGCCCAGAAGATTATCATGGACAAGTTCACTAGAATTGAAGGAGATTACAGAGCTATTCTACAAAATCCTAACCCATTGATCCCGCCCATATTTGGCACTGACGAGTTTGGTTGGTGTTCTGAGTGGAACTCAGCCATGACAAAGTTAACTGGATGGCGAAGAGAGAGCGTGATCAATAAAATGCTTCTTGGAGAAGTTTTCGGTACACATAATGCCTGCTGCGGTCTCAAGAATCAAGAGGTGTACGTGAATCTTGGTATTGCACTCAACAATGCAGTGACAGGTCAAGAATCCGAAAAAATACCATTTGGTTTTTTTGCTAGGAGTGGGAAGTACGTGGAATGCCTGCTATGTGTGAGCAGAAAGTTAGATGGAGAGGGTGCACTAACTGGCGTTTTCTGCTTCCTGCAACTGGCAAGTCCAGAATTGCAACAAGCACTTCACATTCAACACTTATCCGAGCAAACTGCACAGAAGAGATTAAAAATCTTAGCTTATATTAGAAGGGAAATTAGAAATCCTCTTTCGGGGATTATATTTTCACGGAAGATGATGGAAGAAACTGATCTGGCAGGTGAGCAGAAAATTCTACTCCGTACTAGTGCTCAGTGCCAACATCAACTGAACAAGATTCTTGATGATACAGATCTTGACAGTATCATTGACGGGTAAAGTAAAACCATTCTACTATGTTCCTGCTATATTCAGTCTTTTAAACTTTAGGCCGATAAATTTCCGTGCATTGTTGAAATCATAGCATGTTCTTGTCTACAATTAAGTTAATTAGGAAAGATCTTACTGTATATTCTCATTTAGTACACACTTTTTCTAATGCCTGAAAGCATCATAGAGGGTGTGTTTTTTGTGGTTTTCCACATGAATGGATACATAAGCTGCATATCATCATATTTGCATTCTTCGAATCCGTCATTATTCTTATTTTTGCTATTAAGTTTCTTTTTCAAATTTTCACTTGTCTACTGTTAGGTATTTGGATCTGGACATGATGGAATTTGAGCTGCAGGATGTATTGGCTGCTTCCATTAGTCAAGTCATGATGAAGAGCAATGGAAAGGGCATTACGGTAGTTGATAATTTGGCTCAAAACCTCTTAAGCGAAACGCTGTATGGAGACAGTCTGAGGTTACAGCAAGTCCTAGCAGATTTCTTGTTAGTTTCGGTCAATTTCACACCTAGCGGAGGCCAGCTTGGTGTTGTGGCCTCTTTGACTAAAGATAGTTTAGGACAATCAGTTCAGCTCGGTCATTTGGAATTCAGGTACACTTAAAATCGAGCTTATGATATTTGTTTTTCCTCGCTAAGGTAAAAATAATGGTTTGATTGGCATTTCATCCTCGTACATTATTAATTAGTCATCACTGGCAAATCTATACGAGTATCAATATAAAAATGCATGAAATTGTATATTATGAACTTATATTATGCCGGCGTTGCAATTGGATGTAGGATAACACACACCGGTGGTGGAGTACCGGAAGCATTGTTGAGCCAAATGTTTGGTACTGGGGCAGAAGCATCCGAGGAGGGCATAAGCCTACTGATCAGCAGAAAACTGGTGAGGCTCATGAATGGGGATGTTCAGTACCTGAGAGAGGCCGGGAGATCGACCTTCATCATATCAGTTGAACTTGCAGTTGTGGAAAAAAACCGTGCGTGAGTGTTGCTTATAGCATTATTTTCCGACAAAAAACTGCTTCTTTGTGGCGAAGCCAAGTTGCTTTTCTCTGCATTGTAAACATATCTACACACCTGTTTTCAGCATACTTTCTTTTAAGTGAAACAATCAGATTGAGTGTTTGATTTTAGTTTGTAGTTGTCAAAAGGGAGTTTTTATTTTTCTTTCATTGTGCTAAATTTGACTGCATATGCCTCTCCATCACGTCAAAACTTTGATATGGTGATCAATGAATCCTGAAATATTTCAAGAACTTGAGTTTTGTAACTGTGCAGGTACACTAGAGAAGGTGTAATCAATGCTAATTGTGCTTTTAAAAATTGGATAAACGGTACTTGGTGCTTTGACCCAATGATGAGGTGTTTATAAATGATTTAAATTATAAATATATATAAATCAGGGTGAATACAGGGATGGTATTTGTGAATTTCCTAAAATGTGTAGATAAGAAACGACTTGAATGTTTATAAATAGTTTATAAGCATAATCTAAATATAAGCTATTGAGCCTGCCAAAAGGATGTCAAAGAATGTCACAATTAGGGGGAAAAAATTGTGAATGGAAGATTCTAATCGATTAAATTTAAATCTATGAATGGTGAGAATTCTTGATATATACATGCGAGTGTGAATATCCGAGAGTAATTTCTAGCATGATAAATATATTAAATAAGAAGTATGATTTATAACTTGTTTCTTTGCATCTTTGGTAGTGATTTTAAGGATCTATTTGGAATGATTTTTGAGAAGTTAAAAGAAGCTTTTGAATCTGTTTAATTAATTTATAAAAATATTTATTTTAATTAAAAGATCTTTAGAGGTCGATATGATTTCCTCCAAAAGATATTCAAAACTAAAAAATTCTTTTAAAAATTAAATTTTAAACAATTACGGTAACTTTTTGAACTCTTCAACAAGGATAAATTTTTTATTTTTTTATTATTTTTTATTTTTTTATTTTTTTATTTTTTACACAAAACAGACCTTTAATCATGATTTTGTTGATTCACATTATAAAAGGAAAATTAAGAAAATTCTTACTTTTCAAAAATTAGTAATATATTAATAAATTTATGTTAATGCAAACTAATTAATATGTAACAGCTTTTAGAGGTTATCTTTAACATTCAAGCCATATGAGAGAAAAAAATAATGCACTATCGTAGTCGTTCAATGTCACATACATGATTAATCATTTGATGCATGATTCAATAAAAAATTTTCATATTAATACATCAAATCACTAATCATGTATATCATGTAGGACGACTTCGATAATGAGTGATTGCAAATATAATTGTTCGTAAGGAAATTAAATCTTTTCAAAGTAAGAATTTCCTTTACCTCCCACTACTCTCTCTCTCTCTCTCTTTACCGTGATTTTCATCCCAAACCTCCATTGAAGTGTCCATTGAAATCCCACCATTTTCTTCAAACATCCAATGAAATCGTCCCATTATCTCCACTCTCTACATTGCTTTCATCCCAATGATCCATTGAAGCTTTTCTCCATTACAAACTCTGATTCAGCAGTAATCACTAAGGATAAATCTCTTTTACCAATGGCCCTGGTAACCAAGCATGGTTCAATCACTAAACATTTATTGAAATAAATAGTGTTAACTCGAAGTGTCAATAAGAATGCTCATTCCATTGATGCAGAATGACCTCGAAAAAAGGGAAGGACAGAAAAGATAGAAAAATTATGAAGAATCTACACTAAAAAAAAAAAAAAATAAATAAATAAAATGAAAAAACAATGAAAAAGTCCGATTCTGGTTGTAAATGTAACACCCTAATTTTTCATAAACCCTAGGAATGTTATCAAAAACTTACTTACTTTTTTTTTTTTTTAAATGTTAAAGGGGGAACGATGAAAATATATTTCTTTAAAATAAAATAACTGAAATATCCATACAAAAAAAAAAGGGCATGAATAGATACAATCAAATAGAAAGCCCCAAGGACGCCATATTCTAGAAGCCCAAACTATGTGATTAAGTAAATCCTCCTCTATCTGTTGCGAGTCAAGTGCTCCTTCTCCCTCCCGAGCAATTTTCTTCCCTTTCATCGAAGTAAATGAACCTAAGATTAAGTAAGAAAAATATGGGCCGATTATATCTTCTAAATCGTCCACACTAACAATCCATCTTTCCCCTCCAAACGGCGATTTTAGTAAATAACCAAATATATCTTCTAAATCGTCCACACTAATCCTAAGAGCAGCGTGTCTACCAAACTATAGCGGCTTGTCTTGAACTCATAATAGCCTATGAATAAGCAACTGTCTAGATTTAAGAATTTAATTGAAAATTATATTTGAAAAAATAATCACTTAACTATTAAATAACATGTCTTTGAACAAATTAAATTAATTAATAAATTGAAAGACAGAAAAACTTAATGTTTATTTTTTTGATTTACTTGACAGCTTACATCGCCATCCTACCACAAATCCAATCGACTTAAACTAAGTTATAAAATTATTATAAGAGTGAGTATTTAAAAATACCAGTAAGATACATGCACTTTCCATGCGCAATTATATAATTATAAAATAGAAATTTCATTCCACATTTCTTATGGAGCATATCGATGATCATGTGAGACACTTATCAGTAGTATTTTGAATTTTCGAAAGATTTCACATTTCGTTGTAAAGAATTCAACAGAATTCACACTTCGTTAGATCAAACCCAAAAGTCCACCAACAATTCATGTATAAATTGCTGAATAAAAAAGTATACGAAAACAAACTACTTACACAAAAGTATTTTACAGTGATCACAAAAAGATTACTATTATCAAAATCAGCATTTATCATCTTAAACGATGCTACCATAAAATTTTAAATTATAAAACCAAGTTTAATTTATTACTAATTGAAAATAACTTCTTTAAACTTCCATATCTTGGACCTAACTTATCTAAATTAACATTTTCTCGAGTTCATAATATGTTATTTAATATGAAATATAAAACGAGCAACAGCGGAGTCAAAATATTTTATTTAGGTGGGAAAAAATTATATGACAAAAATTATATAGCAAAAATAATTTTAAATAATAGGATTGTATCCTAATCTATAAGTCTGCCTGGTAACTAAAATCTAGATTGCACTTGTAAGGGGAGAGTGGTGTTAGAAAACAAGTCCTTCTACATGGAAAATTAGAGACATGGCTACTGACTGATAATGTAGCCTAAAGGTTTTGGTTAAATGTTAACAAATAGTTTAAAAATTGTTTTTGGTTGGGGAAGAAGAGGAAAGAAAAATAGTATTCTGTTGAGCGAATAGAGGCCCCATCAAATATGATGATGAATTTAAGGAAATGCATATAACATTGCTATATAATCTGCCACCTTGTTTGAAAATAATTCATTGACACACACACAAGCAGCAACAACAATAACAACAACAACAACAAGAGAGTCGAGACTATGCTTTCTAGCTGAAAATGGTGAAATATTATATATAGAAAACACCAAATTATATTCTTGTGCTGGCAATGCTGTGTTAATCATTAAGTAATAGATTTTTTTATACTTAAACAAAATAAAAAAAGTAATAGAATTATAAAAACAATTCAGCATTCTTCTCTAAGAGATTTTGAGACCTTTTGAGTTGGTATTTAATGCCAGTCCATTATCATATTATGCATCAAAATTTGTATTTTACCTTCTTTAATCTTCTTCAAAGAAAGCCTTCCTTTTTGTCTTCTTCAACTACTGAATCCCAAGCACAATAACGGTGAAAAAATTGCAAAAAGGGATACAAATAAATCAGTTAAGAAACCTAACGAACTGACTCGCTGAACTCACCTTTTGGTCGATCGGAATTGGATTTGCAAGATATTTGAGAAAGAGAGAAGAGGATGGATTACGTGGGTAGGTTCTAAGCTATTTGAAATGGGTAGAAAATTTCTACGTCCATTTCATAGGGATTCTTTTCCTTTTCCTTTTTTTTTTTTTAAAATTTTTTTTAATTAAAAATGAAAAACCAAAATTTTAGATGGGCCATTGACCACCCTTCCCCGTATATGCCTCCGTCCTTGAAAAGGAGTCCAATATTGATATACTAAATCTCACTCTGTCAAAATCTAATTACTTAGCTCAAATAAAATTAAAATTAATATTATTTCATTTTAGTCCTTCAATATTTCAATATTATCAAAATATGCATAGGTCAAAATCCTTAGCACTAAATAATTATGTACTATAAAATTTTGGGACATTACAAACTCTCCTCAAAATAAATTTCGTCCTTGAAATTCATATATGTACACCTTTTCTTGCATTTGCAAAACTCTAATTATGTCTGACAAATGTAAATTCAATTATGCTTAATCTTTTAGTGACAATGTATATCATTCCATACCCGCATGAACAATATTCATATAAAATGTGTAAAATTCAGCTAACAAATTATGCGAGGTAAACATGCTTATGCATTTCATAAGATAACTCATAATCATGCTAAAATGATGAAATTTCATTTCATATCTTAGATCAATCGGAGAGTAGTCTAATGGTGAGCGTTGCGTGCCATTGATTACATGTTTAAGACTTTAAAATTTTTACACTGTCTTTAAACTCCTAATACTTATGAAAATAATTTATTTTTTTATTTGAAATATTCTAAAATACAATTTTCTCAATATATATATATATATATTTGAAATGGTTTAAAATATTATTTTTCGTTTTATTAATTTGAATAATGCTCAACCAAAAGGCTTCCAGATGAGGAGGGGGTCACAAATGCATCTCTTAAATCTCACACTCTTCTCAAACAGTTTGGGTCTTTTTAACAAGATCTTTCAATCTTGCGGATACATAAATCATGAAAACTCAAACAATAAGTGGGAACTAGAGATATCTTAAAATATATTTTTCTAATTGGCAAATTCCAATTAAAACTAATAATAATAATAAAAAAAAAGTCTACAAAAATGTGGACATGTGCTTTGATACTAAGCTATAATACCTCAAATTTTCATAATCCCTATTAAGTGTTAACAAAAACCTACTTTTTCTTTTTGTAAAAGGTGGAACGATAAAAATAAATTTCTTTCAAATAAAATGACTAAAATATTTATAAATTTAAACAAAACATGAAATTTGTGTCTATTAAATAACATGTCTTTTAACGAATTAAAATAATTAAT